GATCGAGTCCCGCATCAGGCTCCCTGCTCAGCGGGGAGCCTGCTTCTCCCTCTGACCCTCCCCCCTCTCATGTGCTCTCTCTCTCTCATTCTCTCTGTCTCAAATAAATAAATAAAATCTTAAAAAAAAAATAATAATATTGGATCATTCACAGCTATTTAAAAAGTAATCAGGGTCGCCTGGCTGGCTCAGTGGTTAAGTGTCTGACTCTTGATTTCGGCCCAGGTCTTGATCTTAGGGTCATGAGATCAAGCCCCGCCTCTGGCTCCATGCTTAGCATGGAGTCTGCTTGAGATTCTTACGTAAGTAAGTAAGTAAGTAAATAAATAAAATCAATCTTGGGGTGGCTGGGTGGTTTAGTCATTTGAGCAGCTGACTCTTGATTTCAGCTCAGGTCATGATCTCAGGGTCCTCAGATGGAGCCCCATGTTGGGCTCTGCACTTAGTGGGGAATCTGCTTGGGACTCCCTCTCCCTCTGCCCCTCCCCCCTGCTTACCTGTGTGCTCTCTCTCAAAGAAATTGTTTAAAAAAATAAAAAGTTATCAGTTGCTTTTCACTTATTATGCATCTTTTATTTAAGATACCCCAGAAGCTAACATCCTATTGAATTTTATAAGAGAAAATAAAGAAACAAATCCTCCGGATGATGAGATTGACAGTTACTTGAAAGAATCTGTAAATTGTAAGTGACCTTTAAATCTTATTTTTGTTTTACATAGTAAAAGATACCATATTCTTATCCTGTAACTGCTATATTTCCACTTTTTAAAAGGTTGTTTAAAACTTTTAGAGGTTTTGGGGCACCTGGGTGGCTCAGTCAGTTGGGCGTTGACTCTTGGTTTTGGCTTGGGTCGTGATCTTGGGGTTGTGGGATCAGGCTGCATGTGGGGCTCTGCACTCAGTGCGGAGTCTGCTTAGGATTCTCTGCCTTTCCCTTTCCCTCTGCTCCTCCCTCTGCCCCCACACACTCTCACTTTCTCTGGAATAAATAAATAAACAAATAATCTTTAAACTTTTAGAGGCTTCTATAACCTTTTGCCAATCTGATGGAAGTTAAAATTGAGCTGATTGCCTTTTACTGATTAATTTTTTTTAGATATATATATATTTTAAACATTTTATTTATTTATTTGACAGAGAGACAAAGCGAGAGAGGGAACACAAGCAGGGGGAGTGGGAGAGGGAGAAGCAGGCTTCCTGCCAAGCAGGAAGCCCGATGCGGGGCTCTATCCCAGGACCCTGGGACCATGACCTGAGCCAAAGGCAGACGCTTAACGACTGAGCCACCCAGGTACCCCAGGCCTGGGAAAATTTCTAAAAGACAATTGGATTTGTCTGTTGGAAAAGGTTATCAAGCTTGATAGGACACTTGTATCAATAACTCAAGGCTAAGTTAATGAAACACATATTCAGTGGATGTTATCTGTTTGATTCTGAACACAGCCTGAAAGGGGAAATGCCAACAGCATTAGAATAAATGCCTGTTTCTCAAAGAGACAAAGGAGAGTACTTACAAGGGTGCGTGAATTTTAATGTGCTTCTTTAAATCAGCCTTGTTTGTAACTTCCTGGGCTACACCCACCAAGTACAAACTAAAAACCTCCAGTGGCTTAAGCTTTCATCCTAGCTTTCGTTATGGCTTTCTCTGCCCCGAAGAGTGTCCATCAGACAGTCCTGGATAACCTTGTCATCAGGAGGGATCTTTACAGCAGTGCCTGCAGGAAGCCCCGGGGTTTTATTTCCGCAGCCTCACTCCAGCACCTGCTCCTGTCTGGTGTGCAGCACGTCTGTCAGTGGTTCAAAAACATCCACTCATTCACTCATTAAGTTACAGATATCTCTTGAATGCCTTTTATTTGCCAAGTACTGAGATAACATAAGTCCTTTCTGGAACAAGGCAGGACACGATAGGTAGATGGCCAGATGAGTAGGACAGTTGCTATATTAGGTACTGGAACTACAGAGCTAAAGAGGCAGACCCCTGCTCACAAGGGGCTTCAGTCTAGTTATGTGAAAGAACAGTGGTTAGACGCAGGGTTGGATGGGAGAGAGGAAGAAGCCCCTGCCTCTGCCCCAGGGGTCAGGGGGCCAGGGGTAAAAGCACCAGCACGTTTGCAGAATGTCAGAGTGGGTGAGGGAAGGCTGAAAGGCCATCAAGTGTTGGAGGCTGGGGGGCTTGAGGTTGAAGGGTGTCAGAGTCACATGGGAGCCCTTTTTCAAAATCACATTCTTGCCTTTGGCCACACCATCTGACTATTCCTGAGAATACTTGTGTCCCAAGTCAAGCAGCAAGGCTTTCAAATACACTTAAATTTTTTTTCTGCTTAGAAAAGAAATACATACAAAATTCAGAAAATACATAATAGCAAAAAGGGAAAACAATGAGCACCTATAATCTTACCATCTTATAAGAGAATCATTTCTTTGGTATATACTCTTCCAGATAATTTTGCATACCTATGTATATATATGTTTTTTTTTAATTGAGAGGAAATTGCACCAGGTCGTTCTATAAGCTGCTCTTTAACAATATCTGGTGTATGTCTCTTCATTTAGTAGACTACCACGTCACATGGCTAATTGGCTACATAATAGTCTATTTGACTATGTTTATATATGTCTTCACTTTTACCATTAAAAATAATATTGGATCGGGGCGCCTGGGTGGCTCAGTTGGTTGAGCGACTGCCTTCGGCTCAGGTCATGATCCTGGAGTCCCTGGATCGAGTCCCGCATCAGGCTCCCTGCT